CAACTGAATCGTGGTCTTGAAGACTAAAGTTTCCCCTCTACGCATGATCCTCTGTACGATTTTTTTTTTTTTTTTTCGTTATTTTATTGAACTTCAAACATTAGAGTTAAAGTTCAAGGAGTCCTAATGTTTCGTCATTTCGCGACCAAATAGATTGTCATACAATTTTTTTTCCACGAGGTTGTAACGATTCAAAGTATCGACAACCTGTCATCTTTTCAGTTATGCTCTTCACTGTACGTGTGTAAAAGATACTTTTGAATAATTTTGAAGAGCTCGTCTGCCAGAGAGATCAACTCGTGGACGGTACATTCGTTCGGAACCACAGCGATGCGGACGGCGGTGATTTGCCTCAGTTCCGTTAAATACAGCAACGATTCTTCGTTCTCGATCTGGGAACGCAACGAATTTTGTCGTACGCAAGATTCTCCACGGAGAAATTGCGAGACTTACCGCCGTCAGTACTCCTTTTGATATGTAACTCTTCAAGTATGCGCCCATATTTGGACGCAACGCGTCAATTATGGAATCTCTCACTGCAAAGCATGATCGTTAACTAATTAACTTGTTTGATTTCTGCAATTAATTTGCTCGATTGAATCGAGACGATTTTTACTGTGGAAGGAAACGTGATGAATCTCAGTGTCGATGGCGATCGATACGTCCGATGTCTTGAGATGTTGATCAAACGGTACAGCCTCTATCGTTTCGATACTTCTTCTTGGCGATTCCGTCGGTCCGAGTACTTTAATAATCTACCGATTTAATAAACGAGCATCAACAATGATTTCGATGTTCGACTTTTGTACCGTTGGACTAATAAACACTTTCAATTTAAATTCAAATTCTTCAGCTACTCTCCATCGAATCTAATCGCGATCCATTAGCGATCTCTGTCGATGTAAAGTGCAATGCATAGAAATAAAATCAGATATTTCGAAAATTTCCGATCATCTACGGTTCCAACGATACCAACTGACAGTTCGAAAGCTCTCGATCAAGTCGAATTACTCGCACCTTGATGTTATTCGGATCCTTGATAACGTACTCGTACTGGCTGGGAGAGCAATGTTCCCAAGCGCTGGAAGACAACACAAGATCGCCTGGTAAACAGATTCTTCTCGCGTATTTAAGATCTTCGACCGGGCTGCCAGCTATTAGAAAGTGTCTGGCCCTATCGTCGCCGATTATCGAAAACGTTACCTCTCCAGCGGAGATGATCACGTTCACTGTCAACGTTCAGATCACATCTCACGTTTCTAATTTGGATTCAACTGTGGCCTACGTCTAGCTGAACGTTACCATTCGAACTTGGACCAGGGATTTTGCTCTTCGCTTGAGTAATGGCTTCTTGGATCCGTTGGGCGCATAAGATCACGTGGTGCACCATTTTCGAAACGAACACGTCCCTACTGACCTTCCACATGACCAGCAGATCATCTTCTAGAGAGGGACAGGTTGTTGCTCCTCAACAATTTTTTCTCTACCTCCCGTTCTCTCTGGTATTAACAAGTGGTGAAACGAAGCAAATACGTACGAGAGAATTTCAACACGTCCCCGTGGGTGAAGTACACTTCTTCGATGATGATTTTTATGTAACTGTTTAGAAGAGAGAAGAGAGCGTGGCTACCGCCGTTCTCCGCGCTCGCATACTTCTTGTGCATGTTGAACAATTGCGTCGTACTTACGGTCGCCATGACCGCGGTGAAGTTATGGAAATTCATCGTGGATAAATCGCCCTGGTATATCAGCTCGTCAGGGACGAAAGTCGCCATCGTTTGAACACAGTTGTGATTCCGGTGTGTGTTCAGAACCTGATTGTTCCGTCGTACGCTGGTTGAAAGAAAATAGAAAATAGAGAAAGAAAAGTCTAACCTCCCGCAAACTGGTACTGTGTTTCTTGTATATCGGGCCGATGACGTCTGGCGTCCACGCAGTTCTCACGTAATTCCAGTACGACATCGATAAACGACGTAATCCGAGTACAACTTATTGCGAGTGCAACTTCTAGTGATTGATTGCGAGATATTTTGAATTCACTCGGCTATCCGTTTGACTACTCTTCACGAAGAAAAGTTGTAAAGACTCGATTTTCATTTGTTTCGATACGTTTCGTTAACTTTATTCTTTCATTGACGGTAAAAAAGAAAGACATTTTTAACACATTCGAGGAATTGTAATATCGTTCGATTATTATTCGTTTAGACACGACGTTAGATGACAAAAGTGTATTTATAATGTATAAAGTGCGTAAATAATATACATACCTACAGGGTATCCATTTAGCGAGGCCACCGAAATATCTTTTCGAACTGTAATGAAAGCAAAAGATATATCAAACGGCCGATAAACCGATAAGAATTTTTTTTCTTTTTTTTCAAAATCGTTTTTCAAGAGCGTTAATCGTTTAAAAATATTTTTGGAAATTGTTGAGATCGAAAATTGAAATATAAGGATCTGTAATATCGTGATAAGTGAATGGATTAATTCACTTATATTCGTTCAATCGTAAAGCAATCTGTGAAGGCTCGAATTCTACGCGTTCATTATGGAATTTTGGAAGAATTATCGAGCTCAGCTCTTAGATAAATAATTTGTGCATTTTGTCGATAGGAATTTGATCGAAATATCATAATTAAGTTAAACTACACTATTTAACTTATTAATTGATTTATTGTAATCAAACGGAGTTGATTTATTGATTGACTGTCATTATAATTAAGCGCACGTTGGGATCATCTTGTTCATCATCTCATGAAACAAAAAAACTGCGTAATTTAATAAACGAACAAAATTTCATGTAACAGAATGGGGATTCGATGAGGGAAGTAACTCCAGCACACAGATTGCACTTAATAGGAACACAGACACATTTTTTTCATGAAAGCATTTGAGAGGATAGTAAATATCACGCCGGTACACGTGCAATAACTGATACGAGATCCGCGAGTAACGTTAAAGCAAACGGTCAAGAAAAGTAATCGGTCATCAGATATAAAAAAAAAAAAAA